GAGAGGCAGAGGCAGGTGGATCTCCATGAGTTCAAGGCCAGACTGACCTACATAGGGAATCACAGACCTGCCAGGGATATGTAGTAAGGCCCTGTCTCAAAAAAAGAAGAAAAGGAAAGAGAGAGATGCAAAAGAAATTTTGATATCCCAAATCACGAACTAATTATAGAATTCCTATTTGGCATGAATGTGTCTAGATCTTTCTTCCGCAATTGTTTTTATATACATTTATATAAAGAGAAATGGATGTCAGATTTTTTATTTCAAGACAAAGTCTCACATATCACTGACTAGCCTCAAACTCAATACATAGCTGAGGATGACCTTGACCTTCTGATCCACCTGCCTCCACCTCCCAAGTGCTGGAATTTCAGGTGTGCACCACCTCACCCAGTTATTCATAAGTGACAGTTTTTTAGGAATTTTTTTCCAGACTAGGTATCACTATGTATGTTGGTCAGGTTGTGTTGTCCTTAAACATATGATCCTCCTGCCTTAGCCTTTAATGTTGGAATTACAGGTGTTGGTCAGCACACCCATCTCTGAAGTACTTATATTTATACTACAAATATAAATGGAAACACTATATCAAACCTTACTTTTACTTAATCTTCTCCCTGATTAAGAAAGACATCTGAGAATCAAACTCCAGCTCTATGTCTTTGACACTTGTGTAACTCTAAGCAAGCTACGTCACCGCATGATCTCATTTTGTCAAGGAGAGAATTAAAACCCTTGTTAGTATTTTTTTATACTTAAATTAAAATGTTTTAGAACAGTGAACTATTTTTATGGTAGTTTCTTAACATTATGGACACTAACATCTCTGTTGTTCTTAATTAAAAACTTTTCTAATTTCTGAAATTCTTAGGAATTGCCTTCATTTAGAATCCCTAGAACTTCTTCCAGTTCATGATTTTTAAATGCTTTTCATAAAGTAATGGCTCTCAAGTTCATGTTGGACCTTTCCCATGGACTCCAAATCCACACATGAAACTACCTACTCTGCATTCCTAAGAGGATGGAAACAGAGCCCTCAGGTCCACCGTGCATGTTGCATAGAGATCTCCGTGGTGCCGTGTAAAATGCTCCTGCACTTTCTCCTGTACCAACAACTCCTCTTGCTCTTCTTCATTCGCTCAAATCCCTCCCTACCCCTTCCTGCCCCTCTTGCCCTCTCATCCCGTGGGTCACAAATTCTGCTGTCTCATCTTTCCCATACACACATTCAGATGCAACCTCTTCTCGCATTAACCACCAGTCTAGTCACAGCTTAGCACAGAAGCTTCTAACGTGGCTTCCAGACCTGCTTCGTCTGTTCTCCGCAGAGCATCAACACGACTGATTGCATCAAATGTAAAGCAGCCCACATCACTCTTCCGATCAAAATCCTGCAATGACTCCATGTTGGTTAAAGCCAAAACTGGAGTCCGCAGCTGCAAGCCCTGTCTTTAAAATCACCCCACTCCTGAACTTTCTCCAAGTTATCATTCTTGCTCACTTGGCTTAAGAATTATTTCCCATCTCATTCCCTGCTTGCTTTCCCTCTGCAAAGTTTCTCTATATGCTACTTTTAAACTTTTTTCTCTATATATATCTTCTATTGTAGCATAAACTCTGAAGGTGGATATTTTTGTCTCTTCTGTTCAATGCTCAATGTTTTATTTAGTGCTGTGCCTAGCACAGTGACTGACAAATGTTAACAACCTGTAAATTTCAGTAATAATGACTGTTAGCAAATAAAATCATTCCCTGGAGAAACAAACATTTCAATAATTTTCACAAAGTCCACATTTGTATGATGTTTCCCAGAAGTGTGTGTGTGTGTGTGTGTGTGTATTAGAAAATAAAAATGCAGGGCTAAAAGTGGATACATATTTATTTTAATAGTTACTGCTCATTTAGCCTCTAAAGAATCTCTAGTAACTTATAAGAATAAAATATAAAGCACTTCAAAATCCACCTCATATTTTTCCTCTATGTTTTTTTTTTTACTCAGATAATTCTCTGTCATCAATTTCTGCTCCCCTTGGTGAAATTTTACCCATCTTTCAAAAGCCAACACAACAGAGAGGTGATATTCAGGGGCTGAGAAGGACAGGTTGGAAAGAAGCAACATGGAAGAAAGCTGAATTATGCGAGCCAAAAGAGAGTCAGACATGGGGAACAGGCCCCGGTGTATGACAGCAAAGTAGGGTGGCTATCATTTGCAGCAACTATTGTATATTTTATGAAGAACTATAAGAGAGGACGTCATAGGCTGCAAACACACAGAAATGATAAGGAGATGGACATGCTAATGATCTAGACTTGATCAGTGTGGGTTGTATGCATGCACTGTACCCATAACTATGTGTGGTTATTATACTAATTTTTAAAATCAAGGCTTGAAGGAGAAATAAAGAGGAAGGAAGGAAGGAAGGAAGGAAGGAAGGAAGGAAGGAAGGGAGGGAGGGAGGAAGGAGGGAGGAGAGGAAGGAAGGAAGGAAAGAAGGAAGGAGGAAAGGAGGAAAGAAAGAATTAAATAAGCTCAACTGTTATGTTGTAGAATTTATCAGTCCACTTTGATTCTTATGGGTGGCTTGACTGGTCATTTCCTCTGCTGAACCTTTCTAGAACACACTTTATCTATGCTTTCTCCTTTACCGTGTTGATCTATGATTTATGTTTTTGTATAAATGCCATTTTCATTTTACCACGATCCTAGAATCTAGCATCTTGATAGGGCTAGGTAAAATATAGGCCAGAAGAAATTAATCCATCTATATAATCACCTATTTTCATGGCTACCATGTATTTCGAGCCCTCTCTCCCAGAGGTTGTATTTCTCAAATAAGCAGCCAGAATCCAAATTCCTATGCAGCACCTCAGATGAAAGCAAGCATGTACAGTTTCCGTGTTAGTCATCAGGAAATCTAACGTTATTAATCCATAGAACACATTCTAAGCAATACATTATTAAGAACTTCTACAAAGGGCAGTAGAGATGGCTCAGCACTTAAGAGCACTTACTGATCTTCTGAAGGGCCTGAGTTTGGTTCCCAGGACATGGTGGCTAACAACAACCTGTAACTACAACTTCAGGAGATCCAAAACACTTCTGGCCTCCTCAGGCACCTGCACACATATGGCATACATTCACACAGGCATATACATGCAAATCAAAATAAATATTTTTTAACAAAAGGAAATACAGGAGTAAGTATATTAGATCCAAACGCTGTAAAACTAGATCTTTACATCTTATCCGTTATCCTCACAGGCAGGTTTATTAGAAGTTTCGGTTTTATTGGTTAGTATTCTCAGTAACTCATACATTTTAGTAATTGATGCAGCAAACTTCATGAGAATAAAGAATACACCATATTTACCCCCATGTAAGCCAAAGAACTCAGAATATGTGTTATTTTGTGATAGGCCTCAAAAGTTCACGACTTTCAAATGAGTGCCCAGTGCTTGAACACACAAGGCACATAGGGTAGCTGGAACAGATGTTCTCATCTATCCCACTTTACAGAGGTGCAAACAATGGTCAAAACACTCCAGGTCCATATCCTCCTAGTATCTGCTGAGATTTGGCCTTTTAGCATAGTTCTTTCTTGATCCAAAATTAATGCTGTTTTCCAATATGCCAACTGCTTTCTAAATTCTTCAAAAATGTAATTGAGTTTGCAAAACATGATTCAAGTTCCTGAAAGGGAACAGCTCTGATCGCGCCACTTAATAGCTGTGTGATTTTTCTACCAGTCATTGTTCCTGTGAGCTTCAGCTCCATAGGAGCAACATGTGAACAGAAACAGCAATACCGATCAAAACTAATCTGCAGAAGCAATATCCATAAGAATAAAATCTGGATTGCTTGACGTGGAATTGGATTTATATAAGAAGATGCAGGCTGGAGAAGAAGTCACTGAACTCAGGAGAAAATATACAGAATTACAGCTAGAAGCTGCTAACCGTGGGATTCTTTCATCTCGTCGTGGTACAGGAGTCCATACAAGAGGTCGAGGTGCAGCTCATGGCCGAGGCAGGGGTAGAGGCCGAGGGCGAGGTGTCCCTGGGCATGCTGTCATTACTTCAAGATGATGATGAAGAAGAGGACAATGAATCTCGTTCTTGGAGAAGATGATTTGACTGATCATTGATCTGCATATGCTAGAACTCTCCTTGTGTTTCATTAGTATTATCTAATGTACTTTTACATATTTGTAAAAAAAACAATTTTTGGTAAAATATGATGAAGATGATAAGGATAAAATCTGAACTTCCACAGCCCCTCATAAGTGTCCCTAGATTAAACTTTTCATGGGCATTTTCCTTCCCAAATTGTGACTAAATGAGTGTATACAGTACAGCCATATTGCTTTGGTATCAGCAAGCAGGGAGACAAGAGTTGAAGACCAATGGCAACGTGCTGAATTTAAATTCCAGCTCCACTTTCTTAGCTTTGAAACAAGACGAGGCGTCTAAGCTCTCTCAGCCTCAGTATCTCATCCACAACAAGAGAATAATAACATTTCACTCACAGGGGATTAAGTGAGAAATACTGTAATATGCTCAGTGTCTTATCTGCCACCAGTAGATCTCAGCCATTATTGGCCCTTGATACAACACAGTGTAGTCACGTGGTCAGTCTAACATCTAAATGTCCTTTCTTATAATAAGAAGTAAATCTCAAGAAGCTCAGTTGCCATTATGCAAGCCGGGGGTGGGGGGTGGCTGACTTAATGTTTCAGCTTGCATTTATTAGGGGATTGCGCAACTATTGTCTAAATTAGATTCTCAGGGGACTAGTGTCTTTGCATCTTGTATGACAACAAAGATGTGTCATTTTCTTTTTGATAATTTTAATTTTTTATTCTTTGGCAGCTTCATGAATGTATATAATTTTATAATATAAAACTTCATATTTTAAATCCATATGTTATATTCAATATCATATATATAATATATATAATTTTAGGCTTTTTCATCCCGTTACCCTGTCTTATATTGTCTCCTCCTGCTAAAACCTTTCTTCTTCCTAAAAAGTCTGTTTCCTACTTTCATGTCATTTGGTATGTCTGTGACTCAGTGAACTGAATTAGGGTTTCCTGTATGAGCATGGGTAAGAGGTTACCTACTGCGGCATGGGCAACTTATCAGTGGCTCCATCACTGAAGAAGCACACCCCTCCCTCCAGCCACCATTAACTGTCAGTGTTCCCTAGAGGAAGGATCGGTCCTCATGAGCCCATGATGAAATATTGAGAGCCTAGTCCTGTGCAGGCCTGGTGCATGTAACCACAGCTGCCGTGAGTTCATCTACCATGTCACTGTTTTGCACCACACTTCAACCTCTAGCTCGTTTATTCTTTTCACCCCCTCTTCCATGATGTTCCTTGAGCCTTGAGATTCTTGGGGGATGATACAGATGTCGTGCTTAGGGCCATGAACTGCAGGGTCTGCTCTTTGACCACTTGTGTATCTCTGTATTAAGCACTGTTCATTGCAAAACAGAAGCTCCTCTGGTGAAGGTAACACTCTTATCCACGTCTGGAAACTTACACATATTCTATCTGCTTTGAATAAAAGCACAGAAAACATCCTACTTACCTATTTAACAAACTGGTTCGTCTAATATTTCCTCTTAGACCGTCATTCTCCATATAATGGCACCTGAAGATGTTTTTATATTAATTCTTCATGATCTAATATTAATTCTTCAATCACGATTGCTTACAATGTTTCTTTATACATGAGAAGGTATTAGAAACTGTCAATGATAGAACCAGTTTAGTTTATATAAAGAATTATAACTATTTTCTGCAGATGGATATAGTTCAATAAATACACTATAAGAAAAATTACACTGTTGCAATTTGATGGCATTTTCATTATAATCTACATAGTGCATAAATTGTTGCATGCCCCCACTATAGGCACTATATGCCTTATGTGTAAAATCAGCATTCAGTTCTCACGTAAACATAAAATTTGATTTAGATTTTAGAATCAAGGCTGAGGATATACCTCAGTGTTAGAACATTTGCAAGTGCTATACTTACTGTGCAAGGCTCTGGGTTCAAGTAGTGCAAAATGACACCGTAGGGGTTGAGTGTGGTTCTGTGGTAGAGTACTTGCCAAGCATGTGCTGCAGTCTATACCTAATCACCACAGCAATAAAATAAGAGAAAATAATAAAAATCAAGGTCAAGTACACAAACATTTTATTTTTGGTAAAATCCATTATTAACCAGCTGACATAACGAGGCAACTAAAGTTAAAACATTATGGGTTGGGATAAAGCTCGTGGGTATGCACACATGAACTCACAGCAGCTGTGACAGCATGCTCAAAGCCTGGGCAAGATCAAGCCAGACAGAATCCCAGCACGGAAGCTGGATGTAGGTATAGAGTCTTACCCTTAACTGAAGAACTATTGGCAACCGATGGCTTCTTGGAGAAGGACTGTTAGTTTTCTTCAAGTGTATGACCCTTGAGAGGCTACCCATGAGCCAATAAATGGCCCCACCTCAGTGCACATACTGCAGCACTAAGTGAACTCAGTGGGTTTAAAATTAAAAAGAACACATGAAATTGGGAGGAAATATGGTATGGGAGAAAGGAGAGGATCTGGAAGGGAGAAAATTAGAGTGGACGTGATCAAAACATGTTATGTTTTTAGGACATTCTCAAACAATATAAAATAGCTCAAGGGTAAAGCTTTTGCTTAGCATGCTTGAAGTCTTATTTCCAAATTCTAGTATTTAAAAAAAAGTATTTTAAAAACACACACACACAAAAAAAAACTAAAAACATAAAACAGCATAACACCTCAAGCCTGTAATATGTAATCCTGGCACAAAGGAGACTGACGCAGGAAGATTATCTTAAGTCTGGACTACAGAGTGATTCCCAGACTACCATGGACTACAGAGTACAATCCTGTCTCAAAGAATATTGCACGACTCAATTAATCTTAATGTATATGCTCTATATATACAGCATTTTATGGGTTAAATGAAATTATTATTTAACTCAATCTTGAGAAAACATGTAAATATATTCATCCATACACACACCAAAACAATAGGAAGACACAGATTTATACCATTATTGTTGAGACAGCAGTACTGGACATGCTGTGCCCCACATCAGATGTGCTGTGGGAGAGGCCCGAGGTGCTGAGTTGAGGACAAAGCTTGTTTCATACAGAGTGTCCCAGTGAAGGCAAGTATCGCTTCAGACCTTTCAATTCTTTTAATATCTGAGCTTATTAGAAAAGAATTCTTTAAAATGTGAAGTTTTTACATTATTAGCTACTGTTAATTGCAAATTGCTTTTACCACCACCTCAAAATATCTTAGAAAATTGAAGAAATCTATTCAAGACCAAGTTCCTTTATTTCGTTTAACTTTCTTCACACCACAGTCTGTGTTCTTCTACTTAACATTCTCCTTGTAAAACGTTATAATAAGGCAGGTTTGCATTAGATCACTAGGTTGCTTCTGTAAACAGCAAGTTTCTCAGTTGTCACGATGGAGGACAAATGAGGTATCAAATTAAATCTTTCATATTTATTTTCGCATAAGACCCAAACTTACATCTCAGTGAATTTTATTCAAACTCAGTACCCCTAAATTGCAAAATGTTGTCTTTGTCCTTAAGACCATGACAGAGAACTTTATCTGCATTCAAATTGCCTACTGGTTTGCGGTATTTCAATAATAAAACAGCAGGATTGAAGGCTCATGATGAGAAATCTGACTAATTACCTGTTAGATGATAGATGGTTGTAACTCGGCAGTGCCAGTCACTGAAAACAAAACACTTCGAGATATCAATCAGCTTCCTGACAAATTCAATTTCCCTCACATTCAGTGGACAATAAATGGGAATTTTATCTTTACATCTACATAGCACAGAATTTTTAACTTTAAAATATGCATAATGATATCTTAATAAAGTACATTTTTAAGAAGTTAGTATTTAAATACCTGAAATATTCATATTTCAGTCTCTCAGCTTTTAAATAGATAGATGATGGGAATAATTAACATTGTAAATCTGTATCGAGTTCTATTGTGGAGGGCAAGGTGTGCTTAATAGTACTTTTCCTATTTTCTTTCTACATTTACATTTAACTCAAATTATTCACAACAACTCTAATGGCTGTGTTCATTCTCTTCATTTTTTTTTTTAATTTTGTGGTAAATGAGTTGGATGAACATTCTACATGAGATTCAAAAAGCGGAATGCCCAATTAACACTGCCACATACCAGCATGTGGGCAGAGTTAAAGCGAAGAAGGGCTGAAGCACGGAAATTGAAAGCAGGCTCAGGGAAACACCGTTTTGTTCCTTACAAGAAGGTACCGCGTAGTCAACGTTTGGAATTTACTCTCAACCCTAATATGCTACAAGTTTCCATGTCTCGAAAATTAAAGGTGGCAAAGGGATGGAAGGGAAGAGAAAATTTCTTACTTCCAGTGTTTTGAAGACAATTGATTTTGCCTACAAAGATAAAGTTTGAAACGAGGCACATTGAAACATTGTTGGTGGGAAATGAACTTCATGCAACATCACGGAAATGATCTGACAATAGCTATAAAAATTTGGAAGCTTAGAAATAGCAATCCACGGTAGAGGTGCCTCTAATGATTAGTAATTATCATCCTACATCTCTGAATGCTTATCGCAATATTGTTTTTCATAGCAAAAATGATTTTTTGAAATGAAAATAATTGAAGACTCCTGTACAGTAGATTGTCTTAATAAAGTATGTACATTCACTGGAAAATTGCTAAGATACTAAATTGCAAATGTTCTTAAATAAGTACATAAAAAAGAAAGATTATAGCTATGTAAATTGGGTTGATTAAATCATTGCACAATATGTAAACATTTTGTGTGCACCATTAACATGCACAATTTTCATTTATTAACTACAAATAATGTAGATAAAAGCTAAAAATAAATGTTACTTTGTAAATAAATAAATATCAAAGAACACAATGTAGCAAGATGCAGTGTTGGGAAAAAGGCAATCCTTCACATGTCCTTCACGTGTCCTTTACATGTCCCTCACATGTTCTTCATGCATCCTTCAGAAAAACACCCAAGGTATGTTTTAAGTGAAAATAACCCAGATATCTGAGATTCTTAATAGGATATAAATATAAAGACAAACATACGATTGTAGATAGAAAACTGAATTAATGATAATATGGAAAAATGTCACCTATGGTGGTCTTTGTGAGAAATGACTGGAAGTCATTTTCCATTTCATAGTAGTGCACTGTTTGACTACCCTGCCCATTATCTCCTTTTAAGTAATAAATAAATGACAGAGGCTACACACGATTACGTATAGAATTACATACATGCAAGCAGATGAATTCAAACCTTTCTAATTTTTCCATAGTCAACATTTGAAGGGGCAAAATCCTTGATTTTCCTTACATAACTGTGGGAATTACAGCAAAAGCAATGTCCTAGCTGGATGCTAATGAGGTGAACTTAAAGCTGGCCAGCCCTTAGAAGCTGTTTGGCTATGACACCATCCATGACTGTGAGTTGTGACTGCCAACACCTTCAAATGCCTCCTGTATGCCTATGCAGGAAGGTCCTTCACTGATAGGTTCTTAGTTACAACCTGCGCTGAGGAGCCACCTCCTCCATTCCAGCCGATGAGTTCCTTTAGTTCTGTTCTACAATCCACAAATCAAGCACTGTAAGCACCCACCTCCTGTGGGGACAGCAGGTAAAAGTCTGAGGAGGTAGGACAGGACCTAACATACAGTCTGCTTTTACTCCACACCTCACATGTGAGCTTTTCCCTGTTCGACTCTTTGTCTGGTAAACATTGAAGCTTTTTCAGTGCTGAATATCCAACACAGGACCTCATGCATGCTAGGCAAGGGCTCTGTGCCTAGCTACATCCATCTGTAGACCTGTCATGCTTCTCTCCATTAAATTACTTGACTTGGACCTGTTGCCATTTCTCCCACCTGTGGAAGAGGCAGGGTTATTCTCACTACACAGTGGCTGTATCTGCTCTGAGCTGCCTCCACACCCTACTGTGGTACCTATTAGATATCAAGTAGTTAAGGCTTCTACTAGATCATGCCATCAGAAGCCTCTGATCCAAGTTTGGTCTCATTCTTTCTGATCCCAGATGTGTCTGCTCTGTACCACAGTCTCCCAGATTTAATCATCCATGGGTCTATCTAGCACAGCCAGAAGGATCTCTGGGTCTGGAGTCTTCATCAGAGGAAGACAGGGGAAGGGCCAAGCCTGGACCACTGCCTTTAGGATGTCAGTTTGTCTCCTGGGAAGGCCTCCTTGAACATTGGTGGCAAGAGCTCCTTAGGCAGGTGCTCCAGAGCAGAGATGGTTAGGCCTTTTCCCCTAGCAGCTTCTGCTGTACCAGCTCCAGGAGTGTGGGTGAGGCCTGGCTGCTCATCCTCGTAGATGGTCAAGCAGAAGGACCCTGTGATTCAGAGTTTTAATTCTAACCCTCAGGAAGATGCAACATGTGGGTTCCTGCAATTTTGAGGTCATTTTGGGATAGAGCATGAGGTCATGTTATGAATGAGGTCATAGATCTCTGAGGACAGCTCTTCGAATCCCACCCAGCAGGGCAAGGCAGTAGCTCCAGGACTCTGTCTTCTCTGGGTCTCTGAAGCTTTTATCCATACAGAACATCTTAATATTCTTTATACCCCTTCCCCATTGGCCCCTCCCATAGCCTCTCCCCACTGGAATTCACACATCCTGTCATTTGTGTTAAGGTCTATCATGTCAAGTTAGTGTCTCCAGATGTCCCTCAGTGCAACTTCATCCACTGAGGTCTAATAAACCTACCTAGAGTCCCTCCCTTTAAGAAGACAAGTTCTTCCTCATCCACCAGTAATCTGCCAATAATTCTTCAACTAAAATTGGGGTCTCCTTACCATTTCTACAGTTCTGTGGTGAGTTTCTGTCTGCTTGGGTTTGCATGATTCTTGTGCATGCTGACACCATTGCTATAGGTTCAAATGAGCAAGGTCCCAGAAGCCTATGGGACTCTATCTCCACATGGTCATGCACTTCCTCCCTGGCTCTTACAATCTTTCTGCTCCTCTGCTGCAATAGTCCCTGATCCCTGGGTGGTAGAATTTAAT